AACAAAAATTTTTTATTATCATTATTATTATTATTATTATTATTATTATTTTTATTATTATTATTATTTTAACTAATTAAAATTGACTTTTTTTAAAAAATTAATTTTTTTTGTACTGTATTTTTATTTTTTTTTCTCATCGGAAAAATTTAAATTCTTATGTACATAAATTTAATTAATATAATTTACATAATTTTTTATTATTATTATTATTTATATTTACGTCATTTAAACTAAATGAATTATTTAACATATTTTTTTATTTATTATTAAATACATAATTTTACATTTATACAAAAGATAATATTTAAATAAAATGGCTCTAATTGATCGATAGAAAATTTTTATTTTTTAAAAAAAAAGAATTAATTAAATAATTTAAAGATTGTGATTATGATGTAAACAAGAAAGGGGGGGGGGGGGGGGGGGGGAAAAAAAAAAAAAAGATATTTTATAAATTATTTTTTATTTTATACAAATCATGTAACTGTTGGTCTAGGTTTTAATATTAATTTTCCAGTTTCATCGCAAGACATGTTGAAATCGCTTAAAACAACTCTAGTTCTGCTGGCAATTATCGATGGCGCCATGACTCTTTTATGAATTCCGAATAAAAATAATAAAACTAAAAAAAAAAAAAATTTTTTACTTTCTATGTTATATTTCAATGATTGAGTTTAATGATGTTTTTTTTTTTTTTTTTTTTTTTTTCAGTGATTATGGAAACATACCTAATGTTGAACTTGATACTGTAAAAAATAAATGACTCCATAAAGATTGAGGAAATGATATGCTTGACAGTGCTGGATCTGTTAGCCAGTACCAAGCTCCTACAGCAGTGCAGATACTAACAACTAACAGAACAACTGAAAGTTTTTATTATAAATATTCAAATGTAAGTATTTTGAACGAATGAAAAATATTTCAACTAATGTTATTATTATTATTTATTTATTTATTTACCTCTCCATCTTATCGTTGGAGGTTGAAGGCAGTTTATAACCTCTGTCAATCTTCTTTCGAAAGCCTTTAAATCTGAAAAATTGTCAATTTTTTCAAGTAAAGTAAATATGTCGCGATAAAGGAATTGATAAAATTGAAAAATAATTATTGTTTTAA